ACAGCTAGAGTTACATGTAACACCTGAAAGGTGGCTCGGCTCAGAATATGCTATTCCTACTGTAATAGACAGCGTTTAATGTGAACTCTTTCCTCGTAGACGAGCTCTCCGATATTGTGAATATATTTACGTATGACGCATATAGTATACACCGACTAGCATTCGCAATTATTTTAACACGCGATGAGCGTTTCAACCACTCCGTATTAAGTCCTTAGAACGATATAAGTCCATTATTATATATGAGATTTTGGCTGTCAAGTTAATTATGTTATTACCTAATATTACATTAATTTAATTGTTATTGTACGTGTTGGTAGTATATATAGATAGATCGATTGATGAATAGATAGATAGATAGCTAGATAGCATAGATGCATAGATAGATAGATAGCAGATATATACAAGATAGATAGATAGATCGATTGATGAGAGATAGATAGATTGGATGTCATGCATGCATGATGAAAGGATGGATAGATAGAGTAAGATAATATGATACATGGATAGATGAATAGATAGATGGATAGACAGATAGATAGATAGATGCAATTTTGGTTAGTGCGTCTTCGGAATAACGCGTACGGTTCTCGGTGCGAGGATACGTACGGATCTCCCGTTATCCTACATTATTACATGCCGTTATTCCGTCTGATTTTCACATCGTTTGGTAGACTGAGTCTTATACTGGAATAATATTGGAGAACGTTTGGATGTACTTGACATTGTTTAATCTAACACTACAATACTATCTACTTCGTGTGCTGTCATTAGTGAACTGTTATCTATTATCTATGGCAAGTGTACTTGAAATCGTGCAATCTCGCGTTTTACTTGTACGTCTATTTATAATATTATTGAGTTCATAATCTTCTTATTAGGATAAGTCCACGAGCATGCGCAGTAGCATGCGCGTTCATGATATGGATTATAATAAATTTACGTTAACTGAAATTTAGAATGTTCTTTTTTATATGTTAAGTATTTGAAAGCTGGTCACAATATTCCTTTTCAAATCGTCGTAGTTTTCAGTAAAAGGTAATGTGCTAGGACACTACTTTGCCGTGAAACACTGGTTGCCGTGGTGGGATTCGAACCCGTATTTATGGAACGAAATCATTGTGATAACTAACTCGCTACCCATTGGGCTAACGGGCGCCCCCAAATTAGAAAAACGACATGTTCCTTGTATACTAGAGAAATGCCCATTTAGACAATATTTCAGCAAAGAAATTACTGAGATTCGAACCATGGCCTCATGGCTTCCAGCATAGCGATTAAACCACTATGCTATGCACACACGTTGATTATCTTTGCTTAGATGTCTGCAATACGTTTACCGTTAGACAAGTTAGAAAACATTTCAGCAAAGAATTTACGGGGATTCGAACCCAGGTTTCATAGATGGCAATCTAGCGACCTAACCGCTGTGCTATGCAGACGTTCTCGTGGAAAAGCTTCGTTTTACATTGATACATGTATACATAGTACATTACGGACGCGACAATTAATTCCTCTCCCTCTCTCCCGCCCTCTCTTTTCTTATTCCTGGCTTTATTTATCTCTCAGAAAAGCGCAAAATGGTTTAGCAATAACTGCAACTGTCATCAATAACTGCAATAATAACAATGAACCAACAAAGCTTTTGCTCTATTTCGTCTCTGGAAAAGGCATTCTTTTGAATTTTTTTGCGGTGAAATTCGGAACTAAAGTGCACTAATTTGCATTATGCACGCAGGATAGATGCCTCGTGGACGTCT